TTTATATTTAGTAAAAAATATTATTACCTAGGGCTGATTTTTTCTAAATTTATTAATATATAATTGAGTATCGCGTCGTTGTCTGAATGTTCCTGAATAATATTTTGAATAATATCATAGTAATGATTCTTTTGTAAATGATTGTTTATTATATCATTTGAGATACTTGTATTTATAAAATTAATTAGAATATCAGGATCTTCAGAGCAAGTCAAGTAATCTAATATATTTTTGTCTTGGTTAATGAAATATGTATCCTTTAATTTATTCCAAGTAGTTTTGTTGGCTTGCATCATACCATTACAATAAATCCATTCTTTTAAGTTTGTAGATATTCTATTTTTTTTTTAATAAAAAGATTAGTCTATAACTCTTTGTGTAGCAAATAAGAATTTATTGTTACTCTGCGTCGCACATTGAGACCTTTATCTCAATAAAATTACCTGTATGTTTCAGGATTTGCAAGAACTTCATTTAATTTAATAGTGGCTATTCTCTTGCACTCGGAGTGATTGAAATAACATGCCCATTTTAAAGTATTGACTCTTGTAAGCTTTGTAAGTTCATTTTCAGCAGGATCTTCTTCGTATCCTACATTTTTAATAAGTTCATCCAAAATACGTAGTATGTATTGCTATGTAGGATTGTAAACAAAATTAATTTAATGGTCTTTCTGCTTAATTGAATATTAAGTATAAATGTTTTTTTATTATTAAATGTAATAATGTTACCTTAATATAATCAATTTCTAAAATTTTGTAAAATTTGTCCGAATACATGTCAAAAAAGTTAAACATATGGTATAATACTATAAAATCGGTCTCTCGAGACAAATAATTTGCAAGATCCAGAAATATCTCGATATCAAGTTGATCTGCTATCATAAGATGATAAGAGTCATCAATAATTTGAGCTCGATTAAGTACATGTATTTTTGTATAATTGTCAGAGTTGAGGTAGCTTGCAATTTTTCGCCAATTTGAATCATCATAATTAACGCGATAAAACCCTGTTGAGAAATTAATTTATATTAAATTTATATTTAATAATTATATTATTAAATCTTTTTGAGATTTATTAAAAAATGTGTTTAAATTTGTTTTCTTATATTCAAGGCGTATATACAAGTAAATTCCTATTATAAATCATAAAATAAATTATTACTGAAATTTTGAAGAAAAATTATAGTATGGAAACTAATACTTCTTCATTAGAATAAAATTATTGGTAAACGTATATATAAGGCATATTCACCCGTTTGTTGTACATTAACTATGATCCAATCATTTGGATCAATTCCGTTAACACTTATATTTTTATCTTGTGGTCCTAGCCACTGAGTAGGCAGAGTTCTGGAGAAATCAGGGTTCGACCGCGTAGCATAAGTCAAAGGTACCCACCACTTATCGCCATCGGTATGTTCATTTTGGTTTTTTGGATGAAAATGTTCTTGGGCTAGTATTGTTTCACCAGTCTTATAGTTTCGGGTCACATGTATCATAGGGTAATGCCTTTGTTTTATCCAAGTATCCATTATCTCTTTCAATGTATAGGCATTATGTGGAACATCTGATTCATCGAGGGCTGCTTGAAAGGCATTCCATAAGTCATCGGAAGTAACTGAACTGAACTGGCTACACAATGTAAAATAAACATGAAAAATAATGTAAAAGATTAATTTTTTATTTATTTAATTTATTTTATAGATCATATAAAAAAAAATTTTTAATATTATTATTGTGAAAAATTAATGAAAAGTATAATGTAGGAGAAACCAAGAATGGTTGTTATAGTAAAAAGAAAAGGATTCTCTGTTTTATATA